CCACTAGATGTCTCCCACCTACTCTCTATGTTATCTGTGCTGTCCACAAAAGAGGTGCCAGCCAGAATTCTGCTTCCTGTTGACCCCAAGCATCTCAATCTTAAATCCCTGTCGTTTCCCTTTGCTTTCGGAGATAGGTGACTTGACTCTAAGAGTTTTATAATTTATTGATTTTTAAAGTTTTCAAAGCTTATATGTGGCATTATACTTAACTTGAATTGTAGTTTTTATTACTCATGTCATTGGGTTCTTTTTTTTCCCCCTGCTATTTTTAAATTTGGCAAACTCTTATATTTAAAGAGCTTATTACATGTTTGACAAACATGAGGTAAGACACTGTTTATAAAAATGGTACTACTTGAGTTTCTTCTTACTGTTATTTAATCGTAACATTTTAATATCTCTCTTAAAATTGAAGTTTATCCTGAAAACAAGGAAAGTTTATTATACACTATTGTTCTTGATGGTTCTCTAGAATAGATTTTTAGATTTCTACAGAGTTATTAAAGACACAGTGAATACTTTTATATTCTCTTCTCACCCTAAATTTCTGTAATTTATATTGAAAAGCAGCTCTTGTATTGAGTTGCTCTTGTATTGAGTATAAGTTGCTTTATACTACTATCTGGAACAATCTACAGGTTAGCTTTATCAACTAGTGTTATTCTCAGGCAGATGAAGATGGTTTTTGTGTTGCCATTTTTATGCAGAGATATTTTTGAGATATGCCTAAAAACAAACTATTGAACATGTAGTTTTTAAAATTAATAAGTAATATACAAAACAGATATTTTCATTCCATTCTTGGCGTTATCCCATTCTCTACCCATCCCTTTTAGATGAGGGGTTTAACATAGCATTTTCCAAATTTAATTTATCCTGGAACCAGTTTTTCTTGAGACGTTTATTAGCATTTCAAAAACATATGACAAACCACAAGGATTGGAAAATGCTGGTCTGGAACATTCTCTTTTCATGATATTTCAAGCATTAAATTCTGATTAGAATTATCTTTCATGAGGCCGTGTCTTGCATAATAATTGTAACGATGTCTGTTATCATAAAGTCTAGAGTTTTCATTTTGGCTTATTTTGAATATTGTTTTACTTATTAATTCAGTGTTTATTTATAAAACAGCCTATAAGGTACTATATATAGTATGGGCGCTTCAGTCAGAAGGCACTCAAAATATGACTGGGAAAGAGCTGCCTCATCAGAGTAGAGCCAACCTTAATGATATGGATAACGTAGAACTTTTAGGACCTGGATGTGCTGACATGGCAGGACTCATATTGAGGAGAAATAGCTGCAAACATCCATTAATAATCAGAACAAAATGTACAAAGTATGAATCTAGGAAATTTGGAAGTTGTCAAAAATGAAATGGAACACATAAAGTTTGATATCCTAGGCATCAGTGAGCTGAAGTGGACTGATTTGGGCCATTTTGAATCAGACAACCATATGATCTACTCTGCTGGGAATGACAATTTGAAGAGGAGTGGCATGGCATTCGTCATCGCAAAGGATGTTTTGTTTCAAGATCTGTCCTAAAGTACAATGCTGTCAGTGATAGGATAATATCCGTACACCTACACGGAAGACCAGTTAATAGTACTATTATTCAAGTTTACGCAGCAACCACCAAAGGCAAAGATGAGGAAATTGAAGATTTTTATCAACTTCTGCAGTCTGAAATTGACTGAACATGCAATCAAGATGTGTTAATTATTGCTGGTGACTGGAATGCAAAAGTTGGAAACGAAGAATCACTGGTAGTTGGAAAATTTGGCCTTGATGACAGAAATAACGCTGGAGGTTGTATGATAGAATTTTGTAAGACCAACGACTTAATTCATTGCAAGTACCTTTTTTTCAACAACACAAATGGAGGCTATACACGTGGACTTTGCCAGATGGAGTACACAGGAATCAGATTGACTACATGTGTGGCAAGAGGCGATGGAAAAGCTCATTATCTTTAACCAAAACAAGGCCAGGAGCTGATTGTGGAACTGCTCCATCAGCTGCTCATATGCAAGTTCAACTTGAAGTTGAAGACAACTAAAACAAGTTCCCAGCCACTCCTCAGAAGGAAGGTTGGGCAATCTACTTCCGTAGTGATACTGCCTCGGAAACCCAAGGAGGGTTCTCTATGAGTCAGGTCCGACTCAACAGCACATAACAACAAAAAAACAAGTTCACAAGAGCCAAAACATGACCTTGATTATATCCCTTCTGAATTTACAGACCATCTAAAGAATAGATTTGATGCATTGAACACCAGTGACTGAAAACCAGAAAAATTGTGGGATGACATCAAGAACATCATCCATGAAGGAAGCAAGAGGTCATTAAAATGATGAGAAAGAGAGAAAAAGACCAAAATGGATGTCAGAAGAGACTCTGAAACTTGCCCTTGAAGGAGAGTAGCTAAAGTGAATGGAAGAACTGACAAGATGAAAGAGCTGAACAGATTTCAAAGAGCAGCTCGAGCAGACAAAGCCAATTACTATAATGAAATGTGCAAAGACCTAGAGTTAGAAAACCAAAAGGGAAGAACATGCTCAGCATTTCTCAAGCTGAAAGAACTGAGGAAAAAATTTAAGCTTTGAGTTGCGATATTGAAAGATTCTATGAGGAAGATATGGAATGATGCAGGAAGCATCAAAAGAAGATGGAAGGAATACACAGAGTCATGGTACCAAAAAGAACTGGTCAGTCTTCATCCATTTCAGGAGGTGGCATATGATCAAGAACCAATGGTATTGAAGGAAGAAGTTGAAGCTGCACTGAAGCAATAGGTGAAGAAAAAGCCTCCAGGAATTGACAGAATACCATTGAAATGTTTCAACAAACAGATGCCCCACTGGAGGCACTCACTTGGCTATGGCAAGGGATTTGGAAGACAATTACCTGGCCAACTGACTGAAAGAGATCCATATTTGTACCCATTCCAAAGAAAGGTGATCCCACAGAATATGGAAATTATTGAACAATATCACTACCATCTCATGCAAGTAAGATCTTATTGAAGATAATTCAAAAATGGTTGCAGCAGTATATTGACAGAGAACTTCCAGAAATGCAAGCTGGAATCAGAAGAGGATGTGAAACGAGGGATATCATTGCTGATGTCAGATGGATCTTGGCTCAAAGCAAAGAATTCCAGAAAGATATTTACTTGTGCTTTATTGACTATGCAAAGGCATTTGATTGTGTGGATCATAACAGATTATGGGTAACATTGAGGAAAATGGGAATTCCTGAGCACTTAACTGTACTCATGGGGAACCTGTACAGAGACCAGGAGGCTATCGTTCAAACAGAACAAGGGGACACTGCATGGTTTAAAATCAAGAAGGGAGTGCATCAGCATTGTATCCTTTCACCATGCTTTTTCAATCTGTGTGCTGAGCCAATAATCCGAGAAGCTGGACTATATGAAAAAGAATGTGGCATCAAGATTGGAGGAAGAATCATTGGCAACCTGTGATAGGCTGAGGACGCAACTTTGCTTGCTGAAAGTGAGGGTGACTTGAAGCACTTCCTGATGAAGATTGAAGAATACGGTCTGCAGTATGGATTACATTTCAGTATAAAGAAAACAAGAATCCTCACAACTGGGCCTATAAGCAGCATCATGATAAATGGAGAAAAGATTGAAGTTGTTGAAGACTTCACATTGCTTGGTTCTGTAATCAACGCCAATGGAAGCAGCAGTCAGCACATTAGAGAACGTATAGCACTGGGCAAGTTGGCTGCAAAGGACCTCTTTCAGGTGATGAAGAGCAAAAATGTCTCCTTGAGGACTAAGGTACACCTGACAAAAGCCGTGATATTTTCAGTCACCTCATAAGCATGTGAGAGCTGGACAATGAATAAGGAAGACTGAAGAAGAGTTGATGCTTTTGAGTTGTGGTGCTGGCGAAGAATGCTGAAAGTAACATGGACTACTAAAAGGACTAACAGGTCTGTCCTGGAGGAAGTGCAGCCAAAATGCTCCTTGGAAGCAAGAATGGCCAGACTTCGTCTCACCTATTTTGGTCATGTCAGAAGGGACCATTCCTTGGAGAAGGATGTCATGCTTGGTAGGGTGGAGGGTCAGTGAAAGAGGGGAAGGCCCTCAGTGAGATGGATTGACACAGTGACTGTGGTGATGGGCTCAAGTATAGCTAGATCGTGGAGCTGGCGCGGTACCAGGCAGTGTTTTCGTTCTGCTGTGCATGGGGTTGCTGTGAGTAGGAGACGACTCACTGGCAGCTGACAACAGCAACGTAAGGTACTATGCTATACTCCACAGACCAAAAAAAGACTGTAATCTAGTAGGAGGAGAGGGATAAGACAGATTTAGCAGTTATTATAATAAGAGGTCATAATCGATTGGAGAAATAAGAACCCTAGATGGAATGATATATGGTCATCAAGATTAGTAAATAATCAGAGTAAAAAGATTCAGAAAAGCTACAGGCAAGAGAAGCTGTTATAATTCTTCTTTGAAAAACAAGTAAGAGAGATACAGGAGAGGGAAGGGAGATGTCAAAGGAGAAGAGCTGCATGAGCAAAAGCACAGTAGTAAGAGGGCAGGCGGTACAACTGGAGAAAAGTCGTGAGTCGCTGTTTGACTCAAGGATGGATCACGGGAAGGTAGTGGCAGGGGTTCTAGCAGGTGGCAGGCCTGGAAAGTTAGGTTAAATCCCATATTAAAGAGGTTGGACTCAAGGAGACCGTAGGAATAACCTGATGAAGGCTGTGTTTTAGGGAGGTGGTTGTGGTGGCGATGGGAGGGAGAGTGCTCTGTAGTAGTTCAGGTGAGGGATGAAAGGTGAGGTGGTCCTGAGTCAAGACACTGGTGGGGGGAGTATTGCGGACTGGGAGAGAGTGGGTTCAGAGATGGCTCTGGATGTTGAAGGCACAGTTTAAACTCAAAGTTTACTAAACAGAAACATGAATCAACTGCTGTAAAACTGATGTTAGTTATGTTTCCTCCTTATTCTTAGTTCTAGAGCCAGTACAAAAGCCTCATGAAGGTCCCGGAGAGATGGGAAAACCAGTCATCATTCCTAAAGAGGATCAAGAAAAGATGAAAGAGATGTTTAAAATCAATCAGTTCAATTTAATGGCGAGTGAGATGATTGCACTCAACAGATCTTTACCAGATGTTAGGTTAGAAGGGTAAGTACCTATTGTGGTCTTGATAATATTTAATTTGAATGAAAATATGTTCTGAATTCCCAGGAAATTGCCTTTTCATGCTGATTGTTCTTAAAGTGAATGTTACAACACTGAGTTACTACTTACCACACTTAAAAAGTAATTAAGTACTGATGAAATAATAACTCAAGTTACTGCCAGTCATTAGGACTCTGTATTTCAGACTTTGGAAAATCATTGTTTATCTTAATAGATTAGTAGGGGTGTTTTGCATGAATGATCATTAAGATGTTCGTATACTCAACTTTCTAAAACAAGATTTTTCTGAATTGAAAGTGTAGCTTACAACACCATGAAATACACAAGTCATAAAGTGTATAGCTTGCGGAATCTTTACAGATGTATACACCAGCATTCAAATCAAGATACAGAACATTTCCGTCACTCCTGCAAGTTCCATCATGTCCCTTCTGTCACTGCTCTTGCCCCCAGAGGAAACCAGTGTTCTAACCTCTCTAAACATGAATTAGTTTTGTCTTTTGTTTTTGACTTTTTATAATGAACCCATAGAGTAGATAGGGAGCTCTGCTGGCATAGTGCCTGAGGCACTTGACTGCTAACCAGAAGGCTAGAGGTTCAAACCCACCAGCCACTTCTTGGAAGGAAGATTGGGTAATCTACTTCCATGGGGATACTACCTCGGAAACCCAAGGAGGGGGTTGGCTATGAGTCAGATACAACTAGATGGCAATGAGTTTGATAGTAGATAGTCTTTTTTTTTTTTTTTTTCACTTTATTTTTTTCTTTTATTTATTGTGATTTGGGTGAAGATTTACAGAGTAAATTCACTTTCTATACAGCAGTTCACATATACTTTGTCTCATGTCATTGACC